CACTGGATGCAGATGCCTTGCTTGGCCGTGGCCGAGACCGTCTTGGTGGCACATTTCTTGGAACGGGCACGTGGTAAGTCTCTATTCTTTTTTCGCTTACGAATTTCTTCTGGGCTAAAATGGTGTAGGGTTTTAGTGTGAATTCTTTTTCCTTTGTCGCATCCGGCACAGGACAAGCGCTCGGTTGCGAGGCAGTGACGACAAAACCCGGACTCTGTAGGACCCTGCTTGCTTTTGCCTTTGCAGTATGCACATGCCGCTGGCTCGTCCGGCTGTGTCGGAGGCTGTTTCTGCGAGTCCGGGCGTCGGCACTGGCTGCATAGACGGTCCATTCCTTCTGCCAAAACCTTGTACCATGCGTCACGGTCCCAAACAGTGATAAAGTCTCGAAGAGGTAGGAGTTTGTCTGGCATATTGCTGCGAGGGCTACAGTTGCGGCAATAGAGCATGACATCTGGGTGACGCTTTCGCTTGGGTGCATCTTTCTCAAACCGAGCTTTGGCTTGTGCTAAGGAAAGCTTTTTGCGGTGGAACTGCAAATATGTATGTGGACCTATGAGCTCTCTGTTTTGAAAGAGGTTCGGGGAAAATGCTTGGGTGACACAAACGTCCTCGCACCGTTTGACTCTTGAGAGGCACATGTATGCGCTGAGTTGCGCATCCCGTGACGGGGCGGTGTCCCAAAAACCTAAGTCCAGGGTGCGCGCGTCCAACGTAGCACCCATGAAGGAATGCGCTGTTCCGGAATAGTCGGATGCCACTGGAAACCCTCTGCGGGCGATGGTCGCACGGCGCCCTGGCTGAAGGGTCCACTGCTGGACCGTAGGTTTGATGCACGCAACGCCAGGTGGCAGGGCTGGGTGTAGTTGCCATGTCGAACCCGGAATCTGGACGTAGAGCGCCAAGAGTTCTGCACCGGGTGTCGTGCGGGAGAGTCGTGCAATGTCAAGTTCATGCAAGGTCCAACTATATAGGGTGCCACGGGTATTTTTGAAGAGTCCAAACGGTTTTAGTTCTGGTAAGGTTTGGGTGATACGTATAGGCATGTTAGGCAACAAGGGCAAGATTCCGACAATCCCACCGGTGGCTTGGTCGTGCCGCTGCAACCAGTTGCTTTTCCGAGCTTGCAACTCAGCCGGTGCATCGGTGTCCAAGTGGAAAAGAGGGGTGTCGGCGGCGATCACCCAAAGGATGGTTTGCTGTTGGCTAACTGCTACTTCCCGAGCTCTGAGATTAGTGGCTATGTATTTGGCAGCGTTGAGACCGTGGATGAATGGTTGCGCCGCAAATTTTGCGGACTTTGGGTCCCGACCTAGCAGGCACCTTCGTCGTCTTTCGATTCGGCACTGGGGACATTCTTGTTCTAAGCGAGCTTCCCAAGGTAGATGAGAGGTAGTTGCCCACGCAAGGGGGAGGGTCTGGCAGGCAGCCGTGCCGCAGAGGCAAACTTTGGTTTCGAAGTCCCACGCACCTGGGTACCGGGTCGGAAACCCATGGAGAAAGCACCATACATCCTGCGACATGGCACCGTGGCGCGCTTGTCTCAAGACTAGGCTTAGGCAGGGGTCCACGCAACGTTGCTCGGTGGTCAACTCGAAGAGTGCGTGGAGACCGGATTCAGTCCGTGACCGCAAAACCTTTTGGAGCGCGGCCACCTGGCAGGAAGCGCCCCCGGCGAAGGGGTTTTGGAAAATGGCGGTGGCTTTTACAGGTGGAAACTGCCAGAGATCGCCTGTCAGGATGAGGTTGAGGCCGCCGAACGGTCGCGCCTCGCCCTTGCCGTTGTTCTTCCAAGTGCCTTTGGTTCGGGTGGCTTGGGCGACCTTTTTTTCGAGGGTGGCTAGGACTTCCGGGACAGGTCCAGGTCCGCCCTATGGGCCGGTTGCTGAAAGCTCTCGTACCGCGCGAGGAGCGCAGACCCGCCCAGGCTCTTGATGTCTTCGACGCACTCTGCGTCTCCCACAAAATGTCTTTCCAACCCTTGGGCGAACTGTGCCTTATTGGCTGCAGCTTGTGGGTGGTCCTCCCGGTTCGTCTGGAACAACTTCGGCGGCGCCAAGTCCAAGGCCTGCGCCGTCTTGGCCCATGCCCGCTTCTTGCTAGAGTGCGCCGAGCAGGCCCAAAGGAACTCGCTCCACGTCTGCGTCTCGCAGAGCTGCTTCACGACAAATGCCTCCTGCAAATTCTCCACCTCGTTGCAGTTCCACCCGGCACAGATCACCACGGCGACCCAAGCCCCGCTGCCCCCGGTTGAGCGACGCTCTGACGCGGGGGCTCCCTCAGCGCCGGCTGAGCGACGCTCTGCTCGACGCACTTCCAGCTCGGCTCGCGCCGCCTCACTACCCGCTCCATGCTCTCCGACGCGCAGGCAGGCAGAAAGTGCAAGGCCTTTTTGGCCACTCCATAGGCACCAGGGACTATCTCCAAGATGCTCTTGCTCAACTCCGGGACACCACATGCCAGCCACGCGTCCCCGAGGGCCTCATACCGTGCCCCTTGCACGGAGTCGCGGGCCCACTTCCACCTCCACGTCCCCTCCATGGGTCTCTTCCCCGCCGTCCAAGACCCATTGCATGAACTGGTCGAGGATGTTCGTGCCATCCTTCTTGCCAGCCTTCACAATGCTGACCCCACTAACAATGCTCGCAACCGTCTCAACGCCCCCACACTTGCGAAAATCCATCGCAGCGTCTCTCAACTTTTGCCCGGGCAACCAACCGTAGCCCGTCGAACCCACCAACACCACCGTGAGCGACGCTCTCAGTATGTCAGCTGCGCGCACCGCGGCGCCGCCGGTCTCCATGGCTGCAGCCGACCCAGAGCAGCGACACAAAAAAAAATTCGGGTGTGCTTGGTTGCTTCTGGTGTCATGGCGTGAGGGCTTTGTTGCTCTGCTTTGCACGTGCTCCTGCCCTGCTCACACGCCCACCCGCTGACACCGAACACAAAATGCAAAAAAAAAGGATCCCCGTTAAAACAAAGGGGGAGAGGTTGGGGCGAACCGTTTGTAACGGGACCAAGTTTGGGGTCTACAAAAAGCTCTGACCCAAGCTGGTTTGCCATCTACAAAATGGCATGTACCAGAGTGGGCGTGTACAAAATGATGCTGCCTCAAGATTGCTATCTTATGCTTACAGGCGCATAGCCATCCATACAGCAAGGTGATTTCTCTACAAAAAATGGTGTTCTATAGGTGCCAAAAACTGCCTCGTTACAAAATAGCCCCTTTGCAAGGGCCTCAAGCTCTCCCTTTTTGTAGAGGAAATTTCAACGGGGATAAAAAAGGTCAGGTGTGCTTGGTTGCTGTTGCTCTCTAACCCTAGCCGTCTCCTAGCTTCTCTTGCACTCTACTCTTGGCTATCCTATCGCTCTGGGAGTTCAGCGCTGGTTGCTTCTGGTGTCTTTGGGTTGGAGGCTGTTTCTCGCTTGCACATGCTCTTGCTCTGTTCACAGGCTCGCCTGTCGTTGAGCCCACGTCTCGCCAGTCTCTGTATCTTTCCCCTTTCCGGTGTCGACTGTTTGTCCCCTTTCCGGTGTCGACTGTTTCTTGCTAACTACTCTCTGTGGCATGCTGTCTAAGTCCTTTGCCACCCTGCGTCTCCGACTTGCGGCGTCGACGCCTCGACCCCCAACCTCTCCACCCCCGCCGGCCTCGCTGGCGCATCAACTTGCAGACAATGTCCTTGAGGCTGGAACGACGTCTGCCTGTCCTCACCAGGGCTGTGGCTGGCTGGCGTGAGCGATGCACTTGTTGCCAGCTGACAGCTGCCGCCTCCCAGCGTGCATCGCGCTCCATGTGCCTCCTCTCTCTCCGACGGCTCTCCCGACTTTTGGTTGCTGCAAGCAACCAGGGCAGTCAGCCCCCGTCCCTCGGACGGGTGCTGCCGGGGTGCCCCAAACCCCGGCCCCCGTCTTCTCCGTGGAAGACCCCATGGAAACGTGGAGGGTCCCTCACCGAAACCACACCCCGCAAACACCGCGAGCGACACCTACCGCCTCGACCCAGAACTCTCTTACCCAAGTGCGCCGGCGCCCGGCTGTCAGGCGTAAGCCTTTAAATCCGGCCAGGGGCCCAAGGGGCCCCGCCATGGCCGTGTCATTGCCGTAGGCATCTCTCCTCTCCGAAGGAGAGAGTGGAGTCCCGCCCCTACCGCCGACCCCTGCGCAGTCCCGCGTTTTACAGTGTTTTCTGCTTCTTGCATTTTTCCGGCTTTGTGGCTCAAGATGGGTCACCATGGCCCAACATAGGCTCAAATAATGCTGGAAATGCGTGCCGCACCGGGGTGCTTCGTCTGCATCGTGGGCGGCTGCTGGGCTCACGTCCACACCCACCACTACCACAACCACCACCACGACAACCACAACAACGAGAACAACCACAACGAGAACAACAACAACAACAACAACAACAACAACAACAACAACAACAACAA